AAACGACGATGGCACAAAGTGCCACGGCCATCTCTGCACAGCTGACATTCACAGGTGGCCTCTGGACTGTGTTCAAACATTCTGTGCTGGCACCAATGCACATTCGCCGCGAGTGCCGAAAGCGCGGCCTTGTGCGATTTCGCCCACACCTCGGACCCCTTTCCGCCCCAGAAGCTGGTGAATGGGCTGCCAAAAAACGGGCCCACTCCACAGGCCAAGATCAAACTGCTTTAGCTGTTCCTCTCTCTCGATGGCCCTAACGGCCGAGCCACGCAGGAGGTGCGAGAAGAACTTGGGCGAGAAGCAACCTATAGACCACTCTCTCTGGAGGTCATCAACAAGGGCCATCTTCGACAACCCGAAAGACCATCGGACCCGAGAAAGCTGCAGGAAAAGCGCGGCAACGGGCTGACGAACCTAGCTCCATGGGGCCTGGCCCTTCTGAACAGCGAGAGCGCCCTGGACACCGGACTCTAACGCAGCTTTCGAGATGGACTTGGCCCACCAACCTCCAGCGAATTCCTTTGCAGCCGACGCCGCCGAAAACCAAAAGCGGGCCCCTGCCTGAGCCAGGGTCGGGAGGGGGGGGGGAACCTGAACCCCAGGGGCGCCCCGGGAAGGATAGGCCCCCAGGATCGCGCGGCCTGGAGCCGAAGCTCGTGGAGGGTGGTCGGCGGGATCCCCAACATCTGGGATCCCCAAGTTGCTTTAGCCAGCGGTCCAACTCGACAGACACGACTATGTTTCTCACTCTGCCCAAACTGGCGCAGGGCTGCTCCAGTGCTGCGGGCGGCCGCAAGCCTCGACGACTGCGCGCCGACTCTCCGAGCACTGCCGTCCAGCGCGTCGCCGCCGAGGTCGCGGTGGGAGATGGCCAGCTTGTCGTCTGCGAGCTTTCACCTTGGATCCTGTGCCAGCTCAGGCAGATGGCTGCGGTCAGACATCATAAACTTGGTCTTGTCCCAATTGATAGGCAACTTCCTCGACTCCAACTCTGATGTGACAATCTCGAAGCTGGCAATAGTATTCGCAATAACTGTCTTGGGGCCACCGATGGTGTGCGTCGTCAAATCATCCACCACGTTCAGCGCTCGGCATGGTGGAGTCTCCTCTGCCAATCTCTCGAGAAGGCACAGCGCCATCAGCTTCGACACTCCGGTTGCTGCGCTACAGCCTGCGACGACCGTACCATTTGGATGGCTGACTCTGCTAGTTCCCCCCGTCCACCTGGCTCTTCTCGGCGCGCGGTACAAGCAGCGCAACGCCTTGAGCAAGGCTCCGTCGAAGCTGTAGTGCTCCGCTGCTTCTCGCAGCTGCCGATGGCTAACGTTCTCGAAGAACTTGCGGGTGTCGTAATGCGCCGTGATGGCCGACAGCCGTTTCCGTCTGGCGTGGCACGCCAACATGTTATGTAGGTATGCCGCCTTGCCACAACTGGTCGCCGCATTCTTTCCCCAGAAGAACTGGGCATCAGCAGACGCTTCCCAACTCTTGACATACTGCCTTCTGCATCGGCTCCATATCCGTGCCCAGAAACAGAGTAAGCCTATGGGCCTGGTCCCACCATCTGGCTTTGGAAGGAAAACATTGATCGTAACCCACATACGTTCACATTGTGGTTCGCGTTTACAACACGTGAGAATCTCCTGCAGCCTCCTCACACATGCACCATCCAGGAACCGAACGAGCCTCATGTGGAAATTGCCCCAGCCAGCTCCTGTGGAGGGTCCGAAGGAACGGCACACTTGCACGATCTGGTCCTCCGCAATGGGGTCGAGCTTCCAAGGATAACTCCAGTCCGATGGCGCCGCCTCTTGGACCCTGTCATCCGAGAACCACAGCTCTTCCCATTCCTCAAGCACCGCAGTGATTGCTGCAGCTCCCACCAACCCATGAGGCTGACCCTTGGACAAGGTGGGCGTTTCCTCTAGACGCTTGGGCCGAGCAATCGCATGCGCCAGCTTCCCAGAACCTTCTGCTGCAGATTCGCCAAACTCACGCCAAGCTTTGCTCCTGGCCTGGGAATCCTGGCGCCTACGTTATTCTACCTCCTCCATTAGGACAGTTCGAAACCAGGCTGACTGCTGGCCTCCTCGCTTTGCCAGGGCAACCCACTTCTGGACATCCTTCGCCTTCAGGGAGGGTGAGTCCGAGATGGCCTCAGGGAGCTCCAGGGCTAGCAGCTGTCTCTCGCACCTCTCAGAGTGCTCGGGTCGGCTTGCTTTCGAACCCGAAGGAGCTGAGGACGCCACACAGAGGGCATCCCAGAGCCTGAGCGCGCTCAACCACGACCTGGTGTCCGACTCGTCGTGGCGCTCGTGGATGGACTTGGCGCAGTCCACCAGTCGCTTCTGCTTCAGCACAAACCCCTTTCTCCCTGCCAATGTACATCCTCCTGTCCGAGAGCGGTATCTCGAACAACTGTACCAGGTACTTCTCGGCGGCCTTGAACCACATCGCTGCGGCGTCCTCCACTGAGTCGAAGGGGGCATCCAGCTGCCACTCCTCCAGCACCTGCACCGAGGAAGGCGCGCCCACTTGAGTGAGGTCCACCGCTTTGGCACCATTGGTCTTCTCCCAGGCTTTCCGCTTCGCCTCTTGCTCCGCCAATGGGAAGGCCCTCGGCGGCGCCTCCACCCAGACGAAGGGCTCATCTCTCAAGCCGTCAAGCTTGATCTCCACATAGCAGTGAGGCGAAATGGGCGAGGAGGAGGAAGGAGGAGGAAGGTGGGACGCGGGGCGCTGTCTCTTCAAAACAAGGACCCAACACCACAGGATGGTTGGGAAAAAACAATAATTCACATGTCTGGGGAGAAGGACTCAGACATGCCCGCTTCGAGAAACATCTCGAAGGGCGTTGGTAAGGCTTCGGGGTCCCAGACAGCCCCCCCAGGTAGTCCCCTGGCCTCAACAGGCCCCCCGAACAGTCTCAGCTGGCCTCAGCAGGCCACTCGGGTAGTCCAAGCTGGCCTCAACAGACCCTCCGAGTAGCCCAGGGCAGTCTCAACACCCTGGCGCCACCTCTGGCGGTGCCCCTGGGGCGCTCCGCGCCCCAAGGTTAGGGTGTTGAGAACGCCCCCGGCTACTCGGGGGGCCTGTTGAGGCCCGCTTAGGCTACTCGGTGGGCATGCTTTGAAGCCAATTAGAACTGCCTGGAGGAGCCTGTTGAGGCCAGCCGGGACTACCTCGGGTGGCTGTCCGCGCGTAACCCGGAGCCTCACCAATCGGCGCTTTTTGACAATGTTCGGCCTCTGAGGGCCCTCCCCGCGCTCTGGGACCGTCAAAGCACGACCCGGGATGAGAAGCCGGCCTTGGGGAAAGGGTCGGGACTTCGGGGGACCCCGTGTAAGACAGTGGAAGTCTGGGGGAAGAGAAAAGGAGGAGGAGGAGGAGGAGGAGGAGGAGGAGGAGGAGGAGGAGGAGGAGGCTTCTCGAGGAGGAGGAGGCGGAGGAGCGCCAGAGGCGCCGCCAGGGAGGTCTAGCGCAGATATGATAAACCTGCGCGGGATTCCGAGAGTTTATGCTTACATGTTCTGCCCCTCGAGAAGATCACTGAACCAGACACCTGCTGGTCGGAAGGCGTGGAACTCGGAGCGTCGGGGCGTGGTCGCCGAGAGGAAGCGCCCGCTCGGCGGCTCGGGCGCCCCACGGCGGCCGAGGCGACACGCTGTGCCCTGCAGGCGGAGAGCGTGCCGCTCCGCTCCGCGGGGCGGGAGGCTCGGCAAGGCTCGGGGCTGGGCGTCGCTTCGTGGGGCGATGCACGGGGGGGGGGGGGGGGGGGGGGGGGGGGGGGAAGAGGCGTGCACACCTCGGGGCCCCAAAGGCACCCTTTGGGGGCCCTCAGGGGCACCTTTTGTGGCCCTGGGCGGCCCTTTTCTGCAGCACGCGCTGCCGCCCCCCTATGGATCTCCCCCCCCCCCCCCCCCTTACGCGACACCCGACGGGACGTTGAGGCGTTGGGACCGGGCAGTGGATAGCGCGTCGGTCACCGAAGCGTGGCGGGCCAGAGCCGGTGGAGCGACACGCTTTCCAAAAGTTCCCGACCGCAGGTGCTGACGCGCACAGAGGAGGAGGAGGAGGAGGAGGAGGAGGAGGAGGAGGAGGAGGAGGAGGAGAGGAAGGAGGGAGAGGAGGAGGAGGAGGAGGCGGAGGAGGAGGAGGAGGAGGAGGAGGGGGGCGTGGCGAGGCGAGCGGCCTCTTCTGAGAAGTTGAGGCTTCTAAGAAGGCGGGTGGCTCCGTAGCAGCCCCCCCGGCTGCTGAGAAGCCTCCCCAGAGGCCCCCAGCCTCTGCTGAGAGGGCCCCTTCCTTGTAGGAGCTCCCCCGCCTTCTTCGAAGGCCGCCTCCCTTGCGTCCCCGCCCCCCTTGCGCGCACCGCCAACTACCCAAAACTCCAACGTCGCGATTTTGCATCAAAAAATGCCCAACCGCAGTCGCCGAGAGGGGCCTGCTCGGCAGCTCCCTCCTCCTCCTCCTCCTCATCCTCCTCCTCCTCCCTCCCTCCCTCCCTCCCTCCCTCCCTCCCTCCCTCCCGGCGGAAAGACCCACGGGCGCCAGAGTTGGACCCCCTCCCCCTTCGCCAAGGGGACCCGTGGGGACCCAGGGGGGGCCTTGAGTTAAAAGCATGAGTTACGCCGACACAGCGATAGATGAGGAGGAGGAGGAGGAGGAGGAGGAAGAGGAGGAGGAGGAGAAGGAGGAAGAGGGAATTGGGGGGAGGCACAAGGCGCGCGCGGCAGCCCTCCCTCTCTCCCTCCCTCCCTTCTCCCTCCCTTCTCCCCCGTCCCTCGTCCCCCGTCCCCCGTCCCTCGTCCCCCGTCCCTCGCCCCCCGTCCCTCGTCCCCCGTCCCTCGTCCCCCGTCCCTCGTCCCTCGTCCCTCGTCCCTCCTCCCTCCTCCCCCGTCCCTCCTCCCTCGTCCCTCCTCCCTCGTCCCTCCTCCCCCGTCCCTCCTCCCTCCTCCCTCCTCCCTGCCCCCCTCGCGCCCGCCCCCGAGGGGAGGGGCCTGCTCGGCAGCTCCCGAGCCCAGCGGCGCCCGCAGCCGCAGCCTGGCCGCGGGCAGCAGCCACGCGGCGGCCGCCGCCAGGTGCGACAGCTCGTGGAGCAGGAGCGCCGCGGCGCGAGCGGCCCTCAGGGCCAGCTCGAACATCAGGGCCTCGAGCACCAGCTCTCCTCCTCCTCCTCCTCCTCCTTCTCCTCCTCCTCCTCCTCCTCCTCCTCCTCCTCCTCCTCCTCCTCCGACATGGGTGCGGAACCGCATGCGGGCTGCGCCACTGGGACCTTCGGCGGAGCTCCCTATGGGGCCACGAAACGTGTGAGGGGTGTGCCAACATGGGTGCGGGACCGCACGCAGGCTGCGACACCAGGACCTTCGGTGAAACGCCTTACAGGGCCACGTGTGTTGTGTGTGTGTGTGTGCCAACATGGGTGCGGGACCGCCTGCAGGATGCGCCAGTAGGACCTTCGCTGGAGCCCCCCATGTGGCCACGAAGCGTGTGAGGGGTGTGCCAGCATGGGTGCGGGACCGCATGCGGGCGGCACCATTTGGGCCTTGGGCGGAGGGCCTTGGGCCACAAGAAATGAAAGGTGTGCCGAAATGGGTGCGGGACGCATGCGGGCGGCACCGGCACAATTTAGGCAATGGGTGGAACTCCCGATGGGGCTACGAAACGTGTGAGGGGTGTGCCGAAATAAATGGTGGGGACGCGTGCGGGGGACACCATTTGGGCCTTGGGTGGAGCTCCGTATGGGGCCACGAAACGTGTGAGGGGTGTACCCACATGGGTGGCGGGGACGCATGCGGGCAGCACCGTTTGGGCCTTGAGTGCCCCCCCCATGTGGCCACGAAGCGTGTGAGGGTGTGCCGAAATGGATAGCAGGGGTCTTGTGGCGGGCACCATTGGGGTCTTGGGTGGAGCTCGCAGTTGGGCCACGAAACGTGTGAAGGTGTGTGCCGAAATGGGTGTGGGGCCACATGCGGGCGGCACCATTGGGCCTTGGGTGGGATTTCGTACGGGTCCACGAAACGTGTGAGTGTGTGCCGACATGGGTGCGGGGCCGCATGCGGGCGGCACCATTTTGGCCTTGGGTGGAGCTCCGTATTGGGCCACGAAGCGTGCGAGGGATGTGCCGACATTGATGGCGGGGGCGTATGCAGGGGGCACCGGTTGGGCCTTGGGTAGGGTTCCCTCTGTGGCCATGAAGCGTGTGAGGGGTGTGCACAACTTTGCGAGGCGGATGTGTGTGTGGCGGCGTAGGAAGGAGGAGGGGGAAGGGGGCGAGGAGAAGGAGACGCGGGGAGCTGTCCCTCCAAAGCGATGACCCAACGCCACAGGATGGTTGGGGAAAAAACGATACACAATGGACATCACATAAAAGTCTGGCTTCTCTGGATGACATTTCAGATCCATATCCTCTGCGCCTCGGGTTTCTATAGAAGCCTCCTAAATGGGGTTGGGGTCAGAGGGTCGCGCCGCATCGCTGGTGCATCGGCGATTCATCGTCGACGCATCGGCGACGTCGCGGATGCATCGGCGACGTCCGCGTGGAGAAGATCGGGCTCCGCATCGAGCCGCATCGCGATGCGGCGCGATCCTCCGACCCCTTCTACTCGGAACCCACTTGGGGGGCTTAGATTCTAGGGAGGGGCTCTGAACGTCCGAGACGCAAAAGCTGCGGAAACACGTTTTTAATCGCAGCGGCGCGGATCCACGACGCGGTCGGAGGCAGCCGAAGGGCACCACAGAGCCGCATGGGCACATGAAAGAACGAACACGCTGGCGCGGGGGGGGAAGGAGGCGGAGCACGCTCTGGGCATGAAGTCCTTGAACGCGTGTACCGGAACATGGCATGCACGGTGGCTCGATGTGGACACGCATCTTGCTCGCGAACAGCAGCGCGGCGCAGCGGTGGCGCGAAGACGGCGGCGCTGACCTGCGGCGGCGGCGGCGCAACAGCGGCGGCGCCCTCCGCAGCCAGGGCTAGCCCCGGGCTCGACCTCCTCCTCCTCCTCCTCCTCCTCGTCCTCCTCCTCCTCCTTCTCCATGTCCATGTCCCTTCGAAGAGCAAACAAAGGCGCAAACACAAACTGTCAGGGCTACGAGCGTTTATGTTCATGTGGTTGATTTGTTCCTCGTCTTATATATATGTATATATATATATAACTTCCTCTGTCACATCAACAGGCGTGTCAGTAGAGCAGGCAGGGCGTCTCGACGGAGACCGCCTCACAATTCATGATCCTGATTTGAAATCTACAACATGTTCAAAGATGGATGGGGGGATGCTTAACACATGTAGCTCTCGGCTTAGCGCCGCGCGCAGTCGAGTTAAAGTAGGGAAAGGTTTCGTAAATGAAGGGGGGCCACCATGTGACTCTCGCCTTAGCGCTACGCGAATTCATTGTACAAAGCTGCAAGAACTTCAAGATTAGAGGGCAGGTTAAACTGTGGCTATCGCCTTAGCGCTGCGCAAGTTCGTTTGACAAGATTGCAGCATGTTCAAGGATGCATGGCGGCTCCTTTTCAGGATGTGGCCCTCGCCTTAGCGCCGCGCACATTCGTTTTATAAGCTCCTTTCCAACCTTGGGCTGTCGCCATCGCAGATTCCGAATACAAAACTAGGGAAGACTGCAAGGATTGTGGGCTGCTCCTCCTCCTCCTCCTCCTCCTCCTCCTCCTCCTGCTCCTGCTTTATGTGTGACTTGGTTTCGATCGAACTTGAACCGATGCAGCAGCTGCACGGATAGAGGGCGGTTATTTGTCCAACGTTGGCGCTCGCTTGGCATTTCTGAATCTACGAGAACCAGCACATCACGGTCGGAATACTTAGGTCAACGCATGAAGTAGGAAGGCGGTCGGAAGTAAGAAGCAGGTAAATACAGTATTGCACAACGGTCGGAAGACTTGGACAATAACAAAACACAGCAACAGGACCTCGAGTCTTGAGGTAGGAAGGCGCTTGCAGTAGATTGGGATCTGGGATTCCAGAAATACCTAGTACTTTCAACGACGGGCGTATAACTCGAACATCTGGTGCAGCTGAATGGATGGAGGACGGCTCAGGTGGAGCTTGCGTTTTAGCTTCAGGCTTCCACGACGCTCATGGTCACACGCGAAGACTTGTACAACAAGAGGGCAAACTGACGCGAGCGGTCCTTCTTCAAAACGGGGATCTCGCTCGAAACCTCGTTGAACTGTATGATGGCATCTTCGCACGTTCCCTCTGACTGCTGGACCGATACAAAGCATCTACTTCCTTTTCAAAGCAGGGCGATCGCCTGCATGGCATGTCCAGAAGGTGCTGCTACTTCAAGGGGGTGCCTCCTGAAGGGGGAAGGAGGGCTTGAAGGGACTTGTGCGAGGAGGGACTTGGGACGCAAGGATTATTGCAGAATCGCTGACGCATCTTGGGTTTCTTCTGGTCCTCATCCACTTCTCCTCCACTGCCACTCAGTCACCAGTCGTCAGGAACTACATCATCCTCGTCTAAATCATCGTCAGCATCAGCAGCATCGCCAACCTTCTCTGCTCAATTCGCCCCGTCCCACGAGCATGTGCTCGCGACGCGAGGTGTTTCCTGCTCTTCCCCCTCTTCCTGCGGACAAGTTCGCGTTCACCGCAGCATGTGGAACTTCAAAGTGGAGGCGAGAGATCGAGCTCCAGCCTCGCTTGGCACGACAAGCTGCTCCCCTCTCCTCCTCCTCCTCCTCCTCCTCCTCCTCCTCCTCCTCCTTCTCCTCCTCCTCCTCCACCTCCTCCACCTCCTCCTCCTCCTCCTCCTCGTCCTCCCCCTTCTCCTCCTCCTCCTCCTCCCTCCTCCTCCTCCTCCTCCTCCTCCTCCTCCTCGTCCTCCTCGTCCTCCTCCTCCTCGTTCCTCGCTCCTCGCTCCTCCTCCTCCTCCTCCTCCTCCTCCCCCTCCTCCTCCCCCGTCGTACCCTCCTCCCCCTCCTCCTCCTCCTCCTTCTCCTCCTCCTCCTGCTCCTTCTCCTCCTCTCGACCGCCGCGGCGCGGCGCAGCAGTGGCGCGACGACGGCGGCGGCGCTGTCCTGCGACGGCGGCGGCCCGCAGCGGCGGCAGCGGCGCGGCGCGGCGGCCTCCCCGGCCAGGGCCAATCCCGAGCGCGGCCAGCCCCGCGTGTGGCGGTCGTGGCTGGCGCACGCGAGCATCCAACCTGCGGGGTGTCGACGCCGCGGTGCGCAGCACGCTCGATCGATCGAGACTCGAGGTTCGATCCCCTCCCCAAGCGTGCTCGCGCCTTGAACAGAAGCACGACGGACGTGTTCAAGGCGATGTGCCGCCTCTGGGGGCCCTCGTTGGGCCCCAGGGCTGTCGAGAACAGCCCCTGGGCCAGGGGGCCCGCATGGAAAAAGCCAGGACATCGTCTGGGTCCCCACTGCGGGTGTAGGCACCAAGCCTGGACGGGCATGATCTGGGAGCATCTCTCTGGGTTTGGGTGCCCACTCGCTTCTAGCGGGTTCCATGAGTCCCTGCCTCCTGCTCCTCGGCCCTCCTGCCTTATCCCGCTTGTCGTCCCCCTCCCTCCTCCTCCATCCGCCTCCTCCCTGCTGCGCCTCCTGCTCCTCCGTGCTCCTCCGCCGCCTCCTTCTCCTCCCTCCCCCTCCTCTTCCTCCTCCGCCCCCTCCATCCCTCATTCCCTCCCCCCGCATCTTCCTTCTCCTTCTCCTTCTCCTCCTCCTCCTCCTCCTCCTCCTCCTCCTCCTCTTTCTCCTCCTCCTTCTCCTCCTCCTCCTCCTCCTCCTCCTCCTCCTCCCTCCTCCTCCTCCTCCTCCTCCTCCTCCTCTTCCTCCCTCCTCCTCCTCCTCCCTCCTCCCTCCTCCTCCTCCTCCTCCTCCTCCTCCTCCACATCCTCCATTCCTTCTCCTTACATAGCACCCCACAGATGCGGATAAGAGTGAGGGGGCGGTGGGGACGTCTGCAGTCTACGAGACTCTGGAAGAGCCCGCCGCAGGCGCCAAAGTTTCACTAATGAAACAACGAGCCCGCCGCAGGCGCCAACTTTTTCGTTAAACCAATGTGGGTAGGTCGCGGGTGGGTCGCAAGTGGGTCGAGGGGTGGGTCGCGGGGTGGGTCGCTGCTGGGTCGCGGGGTGGGTTGCGGGGTGGGTCGCGGGGGGGGTCGCGGGGTGGGTCGCGGGTGGGTCGCGGGGTGGGTCGCGGGGTGGGTCACGGGTGGGTCGCGGGGTGGGTCGCAAGTGGGTCGCGGGTGGGTCGCGGGTGGGTCGCGGGGTGGGTCGCGGGTGCGTCGCGGGGTGGGTCGCGAGGTGGGTCGCGGGGTGGGTCGCGGGGTGGGTCGCGGGTGGGTCGCGGGTGGGCATCGACAAAACAAACAAACAAACAAACAAACAAACAAACAAACAAACAAACAAACAACAACAACAGCAACAACAACAACAACGACGCAACAACGCAACAAGCATAATCTTCACCACAGATCCCCACTTCAGCCACGCACCCAGGGACAATGAATGACCGTTCCTCCCCCTCACTCTGATAAATCCGCCGACCCTGTCGGCGTGTGGAAGAGGCTGTTCCGTTTGACTCGTCGTCGACGTCGTCGTCGCGGTCGTTGTCGTCGTCGTCGTCGTCGTCGCCTTCGCCGCTCGCTTCCCCCCTTTTCCCTAGGCCTGTCGCCGTTCCCCCCACTTTCACCGGGTTCTCTTCCTCGAGCGCGCCAACCACAGCGAAATTGAGCAACGTTGTAGTTGAGTCGAAGGGAAGCCCCTTCCCTCTGATCCCATCCCCGCCGGGGGAGACGGGGGGGGTCCCGGGGGTGAAGTCCCGGGGGATGGGTCCCGGGGGGTCCCGGGGCAGATACGACTCCCCCTCGGGCGGTTGGGCGGACAAGAAAAGCAGCAGGACGCGGCAAAACTGCCCCAAGATGCCCCCAAGACGGTCCTCGAGGGCTCCGAATCGCCGAAGCATCGGTCCAAGTCGCCAAAGTAGCCTCCAGACGGCTCACATGGTTTCCAAAACGCCCCAAGAGGCCTCCAAGAGGACTTCCAAGAGGGTCCCAAGGGGCCCAAATCATCGATTTCACGCTATGTTTGAAAGATTTCGGCATTCTCGCCTTGTCAGCTTCCCGACGCTCCAAGACAGGCCAAGAAGCCCCCAAGACCGCCCCAAGATGGCCCAAGAGGCCTCCAAGAGAGCCCCCAAACGACCCAAGAAGGCCCCAAGACCGACCAAGAGGCCTCCAAGACAGCCCAAGAGGCCCCCAAGACGGCTCTAAGGCGGGGGACCCGAACGGACATTTCGAGCCCTCGGCCTGATAAGCTCTCAGGAGGCCCACAGAGGTCCCTAAGAAGCCCCCCAAGAAGCCCCAAGAAGCCCCCAAGAGACCCCCAGGAAGCCCCAAGAGGCTCCCACGAGGCTTCCAAGCGGCCCCCAATAGCTTCCCAAGAGGCACACAAACTACCCCCAAGGGGCCCCCGAGAGCGCTCGTCGTCGTCCTCGTCGCCATTCAGGGTCGGCGGCACCGGCCGCAAGGCCTTCGCAATAACTCCTCCCTGTCGCACGCCGAAGCGTGTCGGTAGGGCGGGCCTTGCGTCTCGCATTCGACTTCCTCACCATTTATGACCCTTGAGCTTGAAAGTCGCAACAGCTTCACGGATGGAGGGCGGGGCGCCTTCAAACTGTGGCTCTCGCCTTAGCGCCTCCGCCTCGCTCATTCGTCTTAAAACATTACAACATATTCACGGATGGAAGGCGGGCCGTTTTCAAAATGTGGCTCCCGTCTTTGCACCGCGCATGGAGGGCAGGTGGTATTTAATGCAACAATTTCGCGGGTGGAGGGCAGGTGGTCTTCAAACTGTGGCTCTCGCCTTGGCGTCCCGGCCATTCGTTTCCAGAAAATTGCAAGGGCTTCACGGATGGAGGGCAAGTCCTTTTCACAATGCGGCCCTCGCCTTAGCGCCGCGCGCAGTCGCCTCAAGACATTGCAGCAGCTTCGCGGATGGCGGGAAGTTTTCAAAACGCGGCTCTCGCCTTCTCGCCGCGCACATTCGCCTCATCAACTTAAAGCCGTTTCAAACATTATCGTTCTTGACGTCCCCAGAAGCGGTGTGTAGGCACGATGTAAGATTGTCAGGGCGCAACGCTTACGTTCATTTGAAATCTCAATGACGGCGTCATGGCGCGACTTAGGGTCGCTAGGACGCAAAAGTAACATTGATTCCCAGCATTAAAATTCCAGGAATGGTGTTCTGGCACGGTTCTGGATTTTCAAGCGGTTGTCTTCCAACGCCAATGGGGGACTTCCCTCATTGAAAATGAACCCGTGCAGAAACCTGTGAAGAGAGAATTTGGCAGGAGGCTTTCTTGCAACATTATTGATGGCTATTGAGCTTACACTGGTGCTTTTCCTCCTCCTCCTCTTCCTGCTTCTCCTCCTCTTCCTGCTCCTCTTCTTCTTCTTCCTCCTCCTCCTCCTCCTCATCCTCCTTTGCTTCCTCCTCCTCCTCCTATTCCGCTTTTTCCTCCTCCACCAAGTGCGTTCGGAAACCTGGCGGTGTCAAGTGGGAGGTGTTGGGTCGGCCCGACTCCCGCACAGCTGGTGCAAAGTAGGCGCTGAGCTCGTTCTGGCCACTGACGGTATCAAGTATGCACCATGGCGTCAAATTCAGGCGGTGGGCTCGCCTGGATACCGATGGTGTCATTCGAGCCGCCGTGGCGACGATGGGGCCCATTTCCCTTCCCCCCTGTATTTTCGAAAGGCCGCCAGCCCTCCTCCTCCTCCTCCTCCTCCTCCTCCTCCTCCTCCTCCTCTTCCTCCTCCTCCTCCTCCTCCTCCTCCTCCTCCTCCTGAAGCACTGGAGCACTGAAGCACTGATGGCAATGGTGTCCGTCGAACGCTGCCGCTTCCCCCATGGAGGCCCGGTCGGGTCCCCTCCGGGGGGCTGGAACATAAAACAAAATTCGGGGACGACGCTCCGCAGAACAGGAGAGAAGGAAGAAGGAGGGGACACGTCATCGTCACATCCCATCTCGTAACCTCAGGAGGAGGGGGCGGGGGAATGAAGGTTGTCGCAAAGTAGCAGCGTGAGCATTTTGTGGCGCGGATGGCGCCGCGTGGGGGCCTTGCGTAAGTCCCCCCTCTTTGGCCTTACTGGGCCACCGCCCTAGAGGGTGCCCAGGGCCCTCCCACGCAGGGCTGCCCTATACTGCTGAAGACAAGTTGGGTGACTGGCTGTCCTGGCAGGAAGGTTGGCGAGATAACGTGGGACGTCGCACTGCGTCGGCTGCGCGCACCCTCTGTCGGCGCCAGGCTCGGCTGTCTAGCCGCCCGAAGTAAATTGAATTGTAAAGTGCTAAGAATGCGAGAGGGACAGGAGGTAGAGGTATAGGTGGCGGTACGAGGGCAAGCGTGCCGTTGGCAGTGGACGGTGGCGGCCTTGCCCGCGCACGGCCCAGGGAAGGCGCAAGTGCCTCTCCAGCTGCTCATAGGAAACCCCCGCTGGCGCCCCCGAGGCAACCGGCGGGATCCCTCGCCTGCGAGCAGGCGTAGGGCTCCTAGCGCGCTTGCCTCGGGGCTACCTGGGGGGCTTCCAATGAGCTCGATGGAGGTTTGCGCCTTCCCACACGCGGCAGGTAGCCATGCTCGTCCCAGGCAAGCCATTTTCGCCAGACAGTGACGCTGTAGGAAGGGCGGTAGCTCGGCACCAGCGCCGGCCTCTCTCGCCAAGGCATACGGCAGAAAGGACTCGCCCCCTGCACATAGGAAGCCCTCCAACAGCCACCACCATCCCCATGACCGGCATCCTCCCCCCCCCAAAGCAGGAGCAAGGTACCCAAATCACGGGAGTGGTGGCTTCTTGGGGGGTTTCCACCGTGCGAAGGGGTGGTTTCTGCCATCTGCGGCGGTGGCGCGGGCGCGTGTTTCGCTGGCCCCTCCCACCCCAAGCGTGCACCCCGCACCTCTTTCCCATAGCGTAGCAAACGGTCAGGGGCCGCAGCTGCTGGGGGCCGACCGTGGAGGTTTGACGTGGAGGTGGGAATCTGACGTGACAGTGGGGGTAGAATCCTGGCGGCAGAGGTTGAAAGGTTGGGTCGGTGCCCCGATGGCCGCTGCTTACGTGGCCAGTAGCGGCCGCGGCCGCCCTGGCTCTTGCTTGGCCTGCCCGCGCTGAGCCCGAGCTGTCTCGGCTGCTTCTGTGGCTCTTTTGTTCAGGTCGCGGGCGTGGTCTTTATGTCGTAATCCCCAGGGCACAATGCTATGTTGCTGATCTGTTGGCGGAATGTTTTATGATGGGTCGTGTCGTTTGCCTTCTTGGGGTCCACGCGTGAGGCTGTGACCTTCATGCAAATGGGGTCAAAGTTCCTCTGCTTCATCACATCCGGGAAGTGGTCCTCGTCCTCCTGCAACATGCCAATGTCGGCGATGACTGCAGTATACGTTGCCGTGTCTAGGTTGGTGGTTAAGATGACGACGTAGTCGATGCGTTCCTGTTTGCCACCTTTGGTGCATGTGTGCGTCGGTCTTCTGCAGTCCGTAGCAGCGTTGGTCATGCGGTACGCCATGACAAACTCGTGGGAGCGCGTGCCCGCCACGTTTTCCTCGAGCCTCTCTCCGCAGTCGCCTATCGAGTCCGCGGCGTGCCCCCCCGTCGCGGCGTCGGCGTCCACCATGGCGAGGTCGACTCCGAACTTGTGGGTGATGTTGCTGATGGTCGTCCCAAAAATATATGTCTCTTCTTCGCCCGAATGCCCGTGAGTGGCGTGGGCCGCAGCCGCGGTCCTCCTGAGGGCCGGCGCCGTGGCGCGCGCGACGAGGGGCCTCGGGCCCCGGCGCAACATGTCGAGGTGTGCGGGGCGCACGTAGCTCCTGGCGCCGCTGGTCTCCGCGCGCGGGGCGTCGGGGCTCGCGAGAAGCAAGGGGCCCAAGTTGCAGTTGTCGTGGCCATTCGAGCTCGCGCGAAAGCGGTGCATGTTCGTCGTGCATCTTGGTAGTCTTGAACCCTGAATTCCGACAAGGTTGATGCCCATGGTCTTGAAGTGGTAACTGGCGAGCTCGATCCGAATCGCCTTTCTCATCTGGCCCCTGTCTGCGCGGGTCGCCCCCTTGAAGCAGCGCGCATTGAATGTCGTCGTGATAGGGTTCACCGCTACTGTCCTGCTGGTTGCCCTGCTGTGGTCTGAAGTGTTCTGGTGTAGATGTGGCGGTTGGCACTGCCGCTTCCTTGCCGTAATCGTTTACGTCTGGGCATGCTCTCCGCGAGTCCTTGTTGACCTGCTGCAGCCATTCCCATTGCCGATGATGTTGCGCATCAAACACCGCTGCCCATTCTGGCTTAGCCCTCAGGGTCACGGCGACGATGACGAGGGGCTCGATAGTGGCCCTCCTCGCTCTACGTGCGCCTGCGCCCCGCGTTGTCGGCGCTGAGTGCTTCGGAGATGGTGGCGCCGATGATCCTCTCCCCAGTGTGCCCATGAAGGTTCTGTATGGGGCTTGCTGGTTTTGACGTCATTTGCTTCGTCAAGATAGGGCCGTCTTCCCTTTTTCCCCGCAGGTGAGGGCGCGTCGATGCCGATGATCGCTGGGGCGTGGTCCGAGGTCGGATGTGGTTGTCCTGGCGGCGTGGATCCCGGTGTCCAGACTGATGGCGTTGGCCATTCTATTTCGTCGGTCTGCTGAGATTCTCCTGGTGGCGTAGTGGTGCATCTCTGTGTCATTGGCGGAGTGGACATGCAGCACTGCCCCTGAGGATGTTCGCCTGGTCCTGATACTGGTACTTCATGTGCGTCAGCTCCTCGGGGCACTTCGTCGGACTGTGCATGGGTCTCCTGTGTTTCCCCATCCCTCAGTGGATGCTCATGTGGCTGGACGTTCTGGAATGCCGTTGACGTGGCGGCGATGGGGTTCTCGTCGTCCGTGCCGATCGGCGCGCTGAAGGTCTGGATGATGGCGTCGGCCACCTCAACTTTGTTGAGGCACTGCTGGGCGGGGATAGCCGCCTCTTGGGCGTACTGGAACTCCTAGGTAGCTTCCTCCGTCCTCCCCCCGTGCATCTCCGTGATAAGTTTCCACTTCGTCTCCTTGTGGCGGTGCGCGTGCATATCAAATTTGAAGGATTCGAGTTGCTCTGCTGTGCGCATATCAGCTCACTGTCGTGCTTGCTGAACCTGTCTTTCAACTTGTAGAGCATGTTAGTTGCACTCGCTGCTCGTAGCTGTGCATGTCGGTAATGGCCTTTCCAAAGCCTGCCTCTTGATGTCTGGTGTTCTCAAGGTCCCATTTACGCATGATGTCCTGCTCGATGCTGGCAAGCTTCTGCTGGCGCTGTTCGTTGGTCATGTGGATAGTGGCCTCCATGCGCCCGCGCTGCTCCAATAACTCCTGCTTCGCTTGTGCGTTTATTTCCTCTGCGTCGCCCCACCTCTGATGCCAAATATTGTTGTCGCTGTGTTCCTTGATCCTGGCTTCTGCCGCTTTGGTTTCGGCGCTGGCGATGTGGTCCTCGGCTTTGACGGTAAGGTTGTAATACGTCTGCCTTCGTGTGTCTCATCTTTTTGCGTCTGGATAATTCAGTTCTTCGTTGTCCCGCATGCAGTTGCTGTCGGCAAGCTTCTTCTGCATGTCCTGGAGCTCTTCCCGCAGTTGGGTTTGTCACTCGTTGTCAGAAGCTGATGTCCCATATCGGCTGGGGACTTCTTCATGGCTTCGATCTCCTCCTCCGCCCTGTGGAGCCTATCCTGTGCTCGTGGTGTCTTGCCATGTGCTCTGTGGCCTGCTCTGTGCTTGACATATCCTTCTTCAGCTCGTTGTGGTAGTTTTCGGCCCTTGCCGCCTCGGGATGCTGGTTCTTTGCATGTCGGCGTGAACCTGTTTCTGCTGGTCAGGGGTGTCTTCTGAGGTTGTTGATATCGTCGCTGGCTCCAGCTTTGTTTTTCTCGATGTCGTTGGCCACGCGCTTGTTGTCCTCCTTCGAAACCTGAACATGGTACCGAGGTCCCGCCCGTCTGTGGCTTCACCTGCCCTTGTCTGCCCCTTTGTGGCTGGTGATGGTGTAGGCGATAGTTTGGGCGGTGTGTGTTTTTTTCTTGTCGTCGTGCCTCCTGACGGCGTACGTGTTCCTCATGGGCATGGCGTTCTTGATCGTGTTGGCGATGTGCTCGTTGTAGTTGTTCTTGTAATTATGGCTGTCGTCCTTCTTCTTGGGCGTCTTCTCATTTCTTGGGTTGGGTTTTGCCCTTTCCCGTGTTGTTTTTGCCCTTGCCCTTCTGGTTGTTGCTGGCGGGGTCCTGGTGGTCGTTCCTCCCCTTGCCGTCTTGGTAATTGCCTTACCTGTTAAAGCTTAAACTCCAGGACTTGTCCGGGTAGTTGTCGACCCACTGGTCGATCCAGCTGTGGTTGTTCCAACGCCCGAATCCTGCTCCGATGGCTGATGCAATGGGCCTCGGTGCTGTTGCGCTGGATCGTGGACGGCTCGATGCTGATCTCCACGGTGGTTTCGCCGATCCCGATCCGCCCGCAGTTGGTCTCCATGATGTCGCCATGTCTGGAACTTGAAGTGGGTATCGTGGTGGTTAATGCACGCTGTGGTGCGCAGCAAGTAGCTGGCGTGCTGTGTGGAGCAGGTGCTGGATGTCGTGGTCGAGGAGTTCACGTGCAGCAGCGACACGTGGGATAACGCGTGCTTGAGCTCGTTGTTCACGTAGGCGTCGATGCCACGCTGGATTGACTGAAGTCGCAGCCGTGATGCTTCCACCTGGCAGGTGACCTGAAGATGTTCCCGAAAGAAGACGTAATACTATGGGTTATAAGGGATGTTTAGAAAGTATAATGGTGTAGGAAATGCACATGGTATGTGGGGAGAAAGGTTTCAGTCGAGGCTGGCCCGTTTTCTGGGCAACGTGGCTCCTCCTCCTCATCCTCCTCATCCTCCTCCTCCTGCTCCTCCTCCTCTTCCTCCTCTTCGAACATCGTTTTTTCTTGCTGGCCAAATCCGATGCTGGGCACCCTTTGCCCCCCAGCCAGCTCCGAGACCCCCGCACAGCACCTGAGTGTCAAGGAGGCGAACGGCTCGACATGCTGGGGGGGGGGGCGCGATGCGACTCCCCGGTGCCAGTGACAAACATCTTCAGCTGGGAATGCAGGGGGCCCATCCCCTCATGTAGGTTCTGGATGCGCCCTCAAAAAACACGGCTGGCTGATAGTGGTGGGGGCCCCGCATCTTTCAGGAGGTCGGGGCGACCATAGACAATACATTTGGCTCGGACCGCAAGGTCTGGACACGCCTTGTAGATACACATTCGGGGGAATCCAAAAGCATGTCCTCGGACTTTCCCGCGATCCAGCTTGAGCCTCAAAGGGGCAATCGATCCCACTGGGCACTCGGTCCGAGACGTACTGCCCCACTATAAGCAGGACATGGTGAGTGGATTTGACCAGCGGTGCCTTCGGGCGCGTGCGGCAGACGTGCTATCCAGGGTGGTGACACCAAGGAGCTGGGTTCACTAAAGGGATGAAGACGCCCCAAAGTTATTAGTCCAGTCCTTGTCCTTCTCCGCCCTCCTCCTCCTCAGCTCATTCTCCCTCCCCGCCTGCGTCTGCTCTCTTCCTCCTCCTCCTCCTGCTCCCTCTCTCCATCGTTCCCTCCCACCTCTCCTTCGCTGTCGTCGTCCACCCCTCCCTCCTTACCTCCTCCCCTCTCGCGTCGCCGTCGTCGTCTTCCCCCTCGAGCAGCCTGCGGTCACCGCTGTGGGCCAACTGAAGAGCAGGCCCAACAGCCCTGCGCACGGCCGCACCGCCAACCGCTTCGCCCCGCTTTCCTTGGCGGTGCTGCTGTAATCGTCGGTGTCGGCCCGGCAGGGCAGGCAACTCGCCATGTCTCGAAGGCCAGGCAGGTAGCTTGCACAGGCCTTGACCCTGGGATCCAAGCGTTGCAATGCTTGTCGCACCTGGCGGCTTCGGCCTGCTTCGGGACCGGGACCATCACGGACCGATCCGGCTCGAAAGATGCCGTGGAAAGATCGGGCCTGGGGCTCCGGTCGCGATGTTGCATTTTTTCCGCAACGTCGGACCCCAGGGGACAAAAAAAACTGAAACTTCGCGACGCTCGAGCCAATCGCCTCCGAGGCAGCAGTGGGGCGGTGGGGAGTGGGCAGCGGGAACTGGAGGTTGAGGGGGAGGAGGGGGAGGAGGAGCAGGAGGAGGAGGAGGAGGAGGAGGAGGAGGAGGAGAAGGAGGAGGAGGGGAGGGAGGAAGGGAGGAGGAGGAGGAGGAGGAGGAGGAGGAGGAGGAGCGGGCCGAGGAGGAAGGGAGGAAGAGGAGTAGAGAGGCGCTCAACTCAACTGTTCGGGGGGGTGACTCCGTGCTCATGCAGACGGGAGAGAGCAGAAAAGGGGGAGAGGGCCCCAGAGGAGGAGGGAGGGAAGGACGAAGACGGTCTAGAGGGAAAAGAAGCAAACGTTGACCCAGGAGGGGAAGGAAGGAGGAGGATGAGGAGGATGGCATATTCACAGGGAAAGCGTCGCGCTGGTCGACGCTACCCAACCCGAAATCTTCGGCTCCGATGGCCCCATGGCTGTATCGCCGATCCGCTTAGGAGTCTTTGACTGTTGAAGGAGCCCTGGGACACACACACACACACACACACACACAACTACATAGACACAAATCCCAGGATGTCCAATATTTGCCCATGTTTTCTAAATGTTCGCCTTCCCCCATATTTCCCAATATTTCCTGGGGAACGACGATTAATTGTGTCTGTGTATTTTCCCCTCCTGAACTGTGCCTCTGGCCCCTTCCTTGAGGAGCTGGGCAGAGGGGAGGGGACGGGACAGGCGGCTGGCGGACTTCAAACTGCTCTTGGGATAACGGCCTATTGCCGGCGGCAAGCTAGGGGAGGAAGTAAGATGGAGAAGGCCTTCTTAGAAGGTTCTGAAGTCTCCTGGTCATCTGGGAAGTTTCATAAGCCTTCCCCGAAGACACAGCTAAAACTTCTCAAAGGCGCGAGGGCTTCTGAGAAGTCCCGCCGCCTGCTGAGAAGGCCTTCTCCTTCTCATTTCCCCCCATCGCTCGCCGCCGATATTGACAACAGGGTCCACGCCTCAGGCAAGAAATTGCTCTGGAAGCGGTCCTTGTATTCACCCTTGAGACTCTTCATGGTGCTCACAGTGTACTGTCCACACTGGCAGCACAATACGATGAAATATTCAAGGTTCATAGAACCGCGAACGAAAAAGATCGTGCTGCCTGGGAGCGCGAATGCGAGGAGACAAGGCGACATAATTACCTGGACACGATTCCGTTGTGCGCGCTCTCGCCGTACTGTCAGTTTTGGCACGCGTGTGGCATGCCAGGCAGATTCAGTGTTCGTTGAGCCACGATCACTGGTACTTCACGTAGGGAGTTGCACTCCTTCTCACTCTCCTCTGGCCCCCAGGCTGGCGCTGGGCCCCTACCCAAGCGAAGATGGCTTCTGGGGCCCTAAAAAGAGGGTTGAGGCTCTGAGAGGGCTTCTCGTATGCCTTCTCCCCGTCTGATGGGGCCAGCGGGGTCAACGAAGACAGGGCCTCGGGTGCGCAACTTAAGACAATCATGAGACACATGCTGTTAGATCTGTACAATTCTAGCTTCATTCGTGGCGGGGCAGGGATCAAGGCCGCCGCAGCCTGGGCCATCCTGTTCGCCCAATCGTCGCATTTAGCAACGAAAAAAAATAATTTGTCGACACGTCCCCGAGATGAAGGCAACTAGGTCGAAACATACACGAGACAACTGCAGCTGTGGGCCGCACCGTTCCTCCCTTCTTCGTCTTCTACAGCTGGGCTAGATCTGGCTGAATCCTGGTCCGCAATATCCAGGTCTCCTGGGCCAGGACCTGGAGGTCCCGCTCATGACCTCCAGCGGCTGCCTCTGGAAACGAACACGCGATGTGCTCAAAACGGGAAGCAGGAGAGGGGAGGAGCGCGAGGGACGTTGGACAAGCACAGCGTGCTGCGGGAGGAGGAGGACAAGAGGAGGGAAAGGGGGGAGGAGGAGGAGGAGGAGGAGGAGGAGGAGGAGGAGGAGGAGGAGGAGGAGAAGGAGACGGAGGGAAAGGGAGGTGCCGAAGAAAGCCAGTTCCCTCACGCTGCCCACTGACGGCGCCCACCTGGCCCCTACAGCACGCTGCCATGAGGAGCGCCGGACCAGAGACCGAGCCCCCGCTTGGCCCCCAACGCGCCCGAGTGCACGAGGAGCGCCAGAGGAGCAGTGGAAGAGCGAAGGAGCAGCCCCCTTCCCGAGCCCGAGCTGCTCGTGATCTGAGCGTCTTGGCAGAGATTCAGACAGGATGGCGACTCGGGCAGGTGCGGGGGAGGTCA